GATTCTCATCTAGTTTTCTTTTTTTCGCACATGAGCTCGAAGATTGCGATTGCTTGTCGAAATGCTTAAAGCATAACTCATCACGAAAAAATGTAGAAAATCAATAGTCGTCATTTACCAAAATTACCTCAACATCAACCGGCAGCGGCATGGCCATGCTCTGCTCCGCAAATGTTGCGTAGAATTCTTTCAATGGATCGCATCTATCCTGCAAAATACATCATCGTCAAATCGTGTACTGTGATTGTATAAACAAAGCACTTTAATTTAAATTCAAAATAGTAACAAGGTGAATGAAGGGAAATTTGCTAATACCATCTTTCTCTACGATCTAGAGAAAAATTGACATGATGACTTGCTCTCAAGTACTTCTCGGTTGTAGACAACAAGATCAATACTTCAAAACAGAAAAAGTGCGAAACAGTTTTGTAAAGAAGCTCCTAACAAGCAAAGTTCATTCCCCTACCTCAATCTCTCCTTCGGCAGAATCGCTTCCTTCCTCTTCATCATTCCTTTCGGTGATTTGATGATCATACAAACCTTCTGCTATAAAAAAATTAGCGATGCAACACGGCGAGTAACTTCATGAGCAGACTAACCATTCCCTCCGAGCTTCATCAAACTCGCCATAAGATCACCTCTCTTCCTTCTATTTCTGTGTTCGATATAAGGATCCAAAAATGACATTTTCTTATAGTAGTAGTACCTGAATAGAGATTCAATGAGCAATGGTTAATGATTGCGGCCTTCTTATATTGTAACCAACCATTTGTCCCCTTTCTTGAGTGGAGTACTGGTTTTGTCTATCTTTCGAAGTCGAACATAGCGGTCACGCATATGACGCCATTTACGCTCCAGCTCCACACCAGGACCTGAAATTGCTTTTGTTGAAGTGATTTAGCATCCTTCTAACTGTTCAAGTAAAGCAAAGGAGACTCTCTAATTATAATGATTGCAATATTCAAACTTAAACTTCAAGCTCACATTGCCGAATCAATGAGTTCTAAAGGGAACAATTAATAAGAACGGTCGCTCAACACTAACTATACCGCTTATTGCAGCTATGGTAAGAAGAACTATTCCCCTCCCAAAGTGTTTCATATACGAATAAGTATGACTCAAAAGTTAAGAAATCAGGATCGTTGATTGCACCAAGGACAAAGGTTGCGTACCTGAAAACGACAGCTGTTGCGCAACTTGATTCCAAACGTGACTTTTGTAATCAGACATCTTATGCAATGGATGGCACCTGGAACTCCTGATTAGTTGAACAATAAAAAAGATTGAAAAGCATTATTCCGCAAAGCACTCCATTGCAAAAATACTGGGGTTGGAAAGCACAATTACCTATTTTCAAGCCCTAGAGATCAATCCTCATTGTAAGTATGCGATAACTGGTCAGTTCAGAACGTCAAACATTGAAAAGCATTATTCCTTAGTTATTATTACTAGTCCTACTATATCAATAAACTGGTGATAGAAATTCCTTACTCTACTTGCAACTCTATGAAGATCCTACCATGAGGAAAATGATCATCATATCAGCATTTCGAATAACATTTCCTGTCTTGAGCACATGTTTTCTAGAAGCAAACTGGTGATTCTATCCCTCTTAGTGCATGCCTATTATAACCTTGTACTATCGTTAAATCTCGATATAATACGGTGATCAGTATGTCAAATAACTTCTTTACAAAGTTTCAGCGTAATCCACAACATTGAGATTTTAGGGCTCAGATGCGGAATGTCAATAATTTTGTGATCCCATGATGTCTAAAAAAGCAGCACTTTCCTTGAGATTGTAGGTAAAGTCAAGATAAGTAACTTATGCGCAACCAGAGAGATTTATTTAGTTT